GCAGCACTGACCCTGTACAGGCTGAAGGGAGAGAATATGGAGAAGTTGCAGCCGAACCTGTGCTTCCCAGCACATCCCCGGGGGAGCCGAGATGTGTTGTGGCCGCCAGGGGGCTGCCTGCCAGCCTGAGGGCTCTGGCCCTTGTTTCCACATCCCAAGGTTAGGGAGGCGGGGGTGCCTTTGGGGCAGCAGGGACACCTCTGGGTACAGGTGGCCTCTGCTACCAAGATCTGGAAAAGCTCTAAAAGATGGTCAGACCCTGCAAGCGTGGGCCAGGGACGCAGAGGCCGTGGGATGATCATGACCAGCTCAGGAGTCATGAGAGCTCTGGTTCTCCCACTTCCTAGCTGTCTGACGTTTGGGCCAGTTACTTCATTTCTTTGTACTTCACTTCTGAAGTAGTCCAATATACTCTGCCTTCCCTCCCTCAAAGCATTGATAGACTTAGTGGGGGAAATGGGTAGAAAAGAGTCGCTATCCTCAGCACCTTGTGTGGGATTCTGGCAGCAAGGTCCATTTCTTGCAGACGTCCAGGTAAGAACTCTTGCAAAACAGGATGGGAACACACAGCCGTGTAGCAGGGTCTGAGGGGCTTTAGGAGGGGAACAGTGGAGGCTCCTTTATAGAATGCCAGGTGCCCACTCAACCCACTACAACAGATCGTCCTTTCTTCCAGAAGTCAGATGTGGAAGATCCAGACAGCGCCAACTCCTCCTTCTACAGCACACAGTCTGCCCCTGTTTCCCAGGCCGGCCCAAGAGCCGCCTCCTCCACCCAATCTCTAGCCTGCCTGAGCTCTCCCGATGATGGCAACTCTGCTCTGCTCAGCCTGCCTGGATACCGGCCCACTACTCGCAGCTCTGCTCGCCGCTCCCAGGCTGGGGTGTCCAGTGGGGCCCCTCCAGGTAGGGACTGTTCCCCTGACCCAACCCAAATATTAGACTGGAAGCAGATCCTGGCACAGGGAAATAACAAGCATTTAAAAGCCCACGGCTAGCTTCCTGGCTGCCTTGTCTGTCCACCGAGGGGGAATCGGAAATGCTCACATAACGGCCTGGGAATCCCAGCATGACCGAAGCTCTGAACTATGGGGAGTGCTTCTCAGGCGGTGAGAGCTGCCAAAGGGCCAGCCGGCAAGTTTCACCCTCGATTCTACTGGGAGGTTCTTGTCCTTTGGAGATCCCCTGGGTATCAATTCCTGGCCCTCGAGTCGTTTCTCTCGGTGTCATGGCCTCTGTGTGACCTCTCCAGGGAGAATGCAGTGAGGCAGCTCCTGCATCTGCAGCTCTGAGCAGAGCAGGACTCTAGGATACTGGGCTTAAGTCCACGGGGGAGGTGGACAGGATGGTGGCCGCAAAGGCTGGCGAGATACCAGGGCCAGTGGGCAACCTGCTGCCTCCACCTTCACTCTTCCAGCCCCACTTGCTCAAATATCCCTGCCCCCCCCCTAGGAAGGAACAGCTTCTACATGGGCACTTGTCAGGATGAGCCCGAGCAGCTGGATGACTGGAACCGCATTGCAGAGCTGCAGCAGCGCAATCGCGTTTGCCCCCCGCACCTGAAGACCTGCTACCCGCTGGAGTCCAGGGTGAGCTCTGGGGTCACCTGCCTGGCACTTGCCCGCCCCTTCCTCTCTTAGCATCCCACCTCAGTGCCACTTGCTGACTCAAGTAATAGTGCCCTTGGTCTCTGGCCTCCTGAGGAGGGCGACTAGATACTTCTGGTAGAATAGCTGTAAGGGAGGGAGTCAGGGGTGAAGTTCCTGTGGGTGGGCAGGAGATAGAGGTCTGCCTGGGACTCCTCTTCTGTGGCCATTGTGCCAGGGAAGACAACAGGCCTCTTGCGACATGAAGCCTTCAGCTGTCCCACGTGCCAGGCCAGTGAAGAGAATCCGGGCCAGCCTGGGTCCACTGACCACTTCCCCCTCACACAGCCTTCCCTGAGCCTGGCCACCATCACAGACGAAGAGATGAAAACGGGTGACCCCCAGGAGACTCTGCGCCGAGCCAGCATGCAGCCGACCCAGATAGCCGAGGGCACGGGCATCACCACCCGGCAGCGCAAACGTGTCTCCATGGAGCCCCACCAGGGCCCTGGCACTCCTGAGGTAGGAGACGTTAGCTAACAGCCTGCCAGGTCAGCGCACCACGTTTGAAAAGTAGGTTAAAGGGGAGGCTTCTGGCCCTTGGGGGTGGGGTGAGAGGTACTGCTGATGGGACCAGTTGATTCATAGGTCCTCTCACTCGAGATACCTGGCTTTGGATGTGAAGTCCTCTTGCTGACGTCTGCCTATCGGCCTCTTCCCAATAGTCTAAGAAGCCCACCAGCTGTTTCCCACGCCCCATGACTCCCCGGGACCGACATGAAGGGCGCAAACAGAGCACTACGGAGGCCCAGAGAGCAGCTCCCACTGTTAAACAGGTAAGTTGGGGGCTGAAGGGAGACCCTAGAGCAGCAGGTTGGCCTGGGAAAGCAGCAGTGAGCCTCATTTGACAGCCCCTCCCCACAGGCTGATCGCCGCCAGTCCATGACCTTCAGCATCCTCAACACGCCCAAGAAGCTTGGCAACAGCCTTCTGCGGAGGGGGGCCTCGAAGAAAGCCCTGCCCAAGGCCTCTCCCAACGCCAGCAGTGGAACCCGTCGCTCCCCTCGCATTGCCACCACCACAGCCAGCGCTGCCACTGCTGCTGCCATCGCCGCCGCCACTTCTCGGGCCAAGGGCAAGGTGGAGGCACAGACAGGGAGGAGGGAGGGCTTAACTCTTAGGACCCCAGAGGGAGGATGGGGCCGCTTCCAGGGCAGGCCAGGCCTGCTGGGGGCTGAGAGATGCTCCTGTACTTGGTCAGTGGCTTAATATTGAGGAAAGGAGGCAGACAACTCTATTCCTGAGAAAATCCAGAGTTGCTTAGTAACATCTAGCAACTGGTAATCTGAAGGTAGATCTGTCCAGAGCCGCACATGGAAGGGATCCTAGTCAGGACTATGGGAGCGGAAAGATGTCTTCCTAAGCCAGCTGATGATATCACAGCCACATGACTGCTTCTCTCTTTCAGGCAAAGCACTAAAGGACCAGTACCAGTGAGTGGCCCCGCCCGTGTCCCTGATGCTGCCCTGCCTGATGCTGTCCCCCTCAGTGCCTTCTCTCAGCTTCCAGGCCAACCGTGGCCAAACCCCTAGAGACAGTGATGCCTGACACACCTTGGCCTGGTATCTGGACCTTTACGAGAGCCTTCACTAGGTGAACAGATGTGTCGTCAGAATGAGCCTGAACAGTGTGGGTCCTCTCCCTACTTTGCCTCCTGTTTTCACAAAGCAAAGTCACTTCTCCATGACGAGATCTGAGGCTGGCTTTGAGGACTGGGTCCTTGGGCCCAGCCAGTTCTCCTCAGCCTCTGTATTTAGAAGGGACCATTGGAGGAGCAGGCCCCGGTCCCTGCTGTTCCTGGTGGCGAGGCTTACCAAGGGCCCTTGTTGTTGTTAAAGTCTGTGGCGTTGACCTAGTGGGAGCACCTGAGGATAAGGTGCTCCCATCCATCCAAGGGCACAGTTCCCAGAGGATGCTCTTTTCCAGGACAGCCAGGTCGGGGAGGGTGGGGACAGCTCACCCCCCACCTTCTCTAGACTTGTACTGGGGTGGGATTTGGATTGATGGGAAGGTTTTTAAGGGCCAGGGATGGATCTTTTCTAAATGTTATTACTTGTAAATAAAGTCTATTTTTCTCCCTTGGCTGCTAAGCTGCCTGATCTGTGTGGGAAGGGAAAGCTGGGCATTGTTAGAGCATACCTTTGTTCCTGCTCAGTCTTCAGACCACCTACCTTCTTTCAAGTCCCTTCTCCCGGCCTCTGCTCATGAAGCAGTTTGGGAGGTCTTTTTCTGAGGGCCTGTGTCCCCTGAACCTGGTTTTGTCTTTAACTTCTGAGTGGTACTCTTCCCATAGTCCCTCTCAGAATGGGCCAAGTTCTGTGAATGGGAGAATGGCCTAAATCAGAAGTCAGCATACCTCCACTGAAAAACCACCTATGAATGCCCATTGTGGGCCTTGCTATAATAGGTATGACAAAGATACAACTGGGTATCAGAAGCAGCCTCTGCCCAATCTATTGGGGTAAGAGGGACAATACAGGCATAGTTTGGATATTGCAGGTTTAGCTCCAGACCACAACAAAGTGAATATTGCAATAAAGTCAGTTACAAAATCCACTGTAGTCTATTGAGGGTGCAGTAGCGTGTCTAAACAACATACATAAACTAAAAAACAGATCATGGCAAAAAAAAAATGCTATTCACCGTCTGGGCTTTCAGTGAGTTGTAATCTTTTTGCTGGTAGAGTCTTGCCTTGATGTTGGCTGCTGCTAAGAGTAAAATGGCTGAGGATTGGAATGGCTGTGGCAATTTCTGAAAATGAAGTTTGCTGCACTGACTTTCATGAATAATTTCTCTATAGCATGCAATGCTGTCTAATAGTATTTTACCCCATAGAACTTCAAGGAGTCAAGCTCTGGCCGGTATTGCTCAATTGGACATTATCTCATTTAGAGTAGGGTTATTACTTGGACCATTTCAATACTGTTATGTCTTGGGGAATAGGGAAGCTCAAGGAAAGGGAGAGAGATGAGAAATAGGCAGTCAGAACACACACTTTTGTCAATTAAGCTTACCATCTTATATTGGCATGATTCATGGCACCCAAAAAACAACTGTTATATCAAAGACCACTGATCACAGATCATAACAAATACAATAATGATTTGAAATATTGCAAGAATTACTACAATATAACAAAGTGAACAAATGCAATATGACAAATTGAAAAAATAGTGCCAACAGATTTAATCAACACAGGGTTGCCACAAACCTGCAATCTGTAAAAATTGCATTATCTGTGAAGCACAATAAAACAAGCTTTGCCTATACAAATATATGCCATTACGTTGAGATTGTGGCCTGAGCTGACAGCCTAGACCTAAATGAAGAGGTGGCGTTGCAACCAGGCTTGAGTTCACCTGTCAGGAGGTGAGGCAGAGGGAACCCTCTGGAGGCTTCTTGATTCGGGGTCATGACTGTCCTCGGCCCAGCCTGGGGAAGTGAAGGCAGACAAGGATCAGGGCCAAGAGGGAGGGATATCTCGTCACTTTCCTCTAGGCCAGTGGTTCTCAGCCTTCCTAGGGCGGTGACCCTTTGATACAGTTCTTCACGGTGTGGTGACTCCCAACCATAAAATTATTTTCCCTGTTACTTCATAACTGTAATTTTGCTACTGTTAATGAATCGTAATGTAAATATCTGTGTTACATTAGATAACAAATATTGCAGGTTTGGTTCCAGACCAGGCTGTAGAGCCTAAGACCATCGGAAAACACAGATATTTACATTATGATTCATTAACAGTAGCAAAATTATAGTTATGAAGCAGCAAGGAAAATAATTTTATGGTTGGGGGCCACCACAGCATGAGGAACTGTATCAAAGGGTCGTCGCACTAGGAAGGCTGAGAACCACTGCTGTAGGCCATGCCTCCTCCGCTTGAGCCTGAAGTTCTGTTTAGTCCCACCTTGGGCCTGGGGTTTTGGAGGAGTGGTGGTCCTTAGCCTGAGATTGCTCTGGGCACAGCCTGCCCTTTCCTCCCCACACTGGAGCAGAGCTCTGCCCGTCCCTGGGAACCTTCCCTCAGGCTCCTCACCTAGAGATGGGCCAGGACGACGTGGCGCTGGGCAGTGCACTCAGGATCCACGAAAACACAGGAGAAGTTGGTGTGGAGCAAGGCGGGGCTCAACTCCTCCAGCACCAGGGCCTTCTTCAGCTGAGAGTTGGCACCCCTGGACTCCACGCTGCCGCAGAGAAGAAAGGCCGTGAGGGGACTGCAGGAGGCGGCCTCCCCCTGTGGGCCTCGCCACCGTGCCCCTCACCTGGTGCTGCCCTCCCGCAGCTGGTAGGGGAGGTGCTCGATGAAGGAACCGTTGCCCAGCCAGTAGAGAAGGCTGAAGTGGTAGAAGCGGCTACAGGCAGTACAGGACAGAGTCAGCGTTCCGTCTAGGGGCACAAGTGGCTGTCAGTCCTAGCCCTTCCGTCAAGCAACCCCCCACCCTCTCTACTGTGGCCCACCCTCCCCAGCTCCCCGGCGCCATGACCCAGGAGCCCCGGCACCCCCCCCCCCCCAGGGGCGGAGATCCATTAGAGCAGAACTGCACTGTCTGCCACGGAGGCCCAGGGCTGGGCGAGAGTCTGGGGGATATGTCCTTATTCGGGTGATAACTCCTGAGCTTGTTTACTCAGGAGACCTAGTGCCCAGCGTCAGTGACTAGAGCCCCCAGCCAAGGAAGCAGCCCTCCTGGGCCACTCCTCTTGAGGTGGCCAGAAGCAAATGGGCTCTGAGAGGAGCCCACAGCACTCAGCTCTGCAGCCTCTCGCCTCCTCTTGTCTGAATTCTCTGTCCCATTTGATAGGGAGCATCTTGGGGGCTAGGCCCCATGCCCATACTCATAATGCTGGGTGGGAGCAGAGAATGCCAAGTGCAGCCAAGCTGGCAGGGTTGGTAGTGGGCTACATGGCAGAAGGGCAGGGGGTATATTCAGGAGTCACCTCCACCTTTGGACCCTCTGTGCTAACAGCCTGCCCTCTAACCTCTGTGCCCTCCTGGGCTTCCCTCAGAATTGTTCCTTACTTTGTGCGAGTCCATCTTCTGGCAGGGACACCTCCAATGCTGGGCACCGCTCAGCTGCTGGAAGCGTTGTGATCCCAGCTGAGACTGCAGCAGCTGTGACGACCTGGGGCACAGGTGTAGCTCTCGCCAAATGGGAGACGATGTGGGGACACAGGAACAGGATCCACAAAGGGCTGGAGTCTGAGGACAGGACAGTCACGGAGGTCAGCAGCTGGACCGCCCGGGAATGCTCAGCACCCGAGCTCAGGTCTTAGCTGAGGGAGTTGCTGCCTGGGTCAAGCTCTGGCTCGGAGATTCCTGGGCTCTGCTCAGGGAATCAGAGGGGCAGAAGGACCTTCCTGGCCATTTGTGAAAGGAACACAGGGAGACTCTGGAATGGAGCCAGAGGCTGAAAGAGCGCAGTGGAGAGGAGTCACCTGGGAGGTAAGGCTTGGGGCAACCCCACGGCTCCATTCTGTTTTCAGACCGCTCCCACCCCCATGTCCTATCCCCCACCGTCCTCCCCCACCCCCCTCCCTGCCACCCATGCACAGCCCCAGGTCCCACCTGGTGTCCAGTTCCGTCTGGTGGTCATGATGTGCCAGGAGCTGTGTTCTTGGCTCTATGTACGTGGTGACGGGACAGGCGGGGAAGGAGTGGTAACTATTCCACAATTCAGAAACTGGCCTGAGCCTCAGAACCTGCCCCCGCTGCTGCCTGCTGCTTCTTCTCCGTCCCTCCCCCTTTTCATTTCCCTCCACTCTCCCCCCCCCCCACCCCCTGCCTCCCCCGCTGCCGCCGGTTCCGGCTCGATTCCGGCTCCGCTTCTCCGCCCTCAGCCCTCAGGCAGCCGCACTGGGCCTCCCTCAGGGGCAGGCACAGGAGACCCCATCAACCCGGCCTCGCTGCCTGCCTCCAGGGGACCCGCAGCTCATCGCTCATCCTGGAGCAGCTCAAAAGCCAGCGGCCTGTTGGACAGGAAACATGCTGGTTTCCCGTGCAAGCCAACCCCTCAGCATAGACACAGAAACTTGAGCGCAAAGAGGGGCCAGGACTTACCCGGTCGGGAGGGAGATAAGCTCTCCTCACGGAGGGAGCTGTTCTGGGAAGGGCAGGATCCAGTGAAATTCTGGGAAAGCACTGGCCTCCATTTCACTTTCACTTTGAACCTAACAGGAAACCTAACGCAGGCTCAGGCACGGGAAGCCTCCTTGCGCCTTTGCTGGCCGGCCAGCATCGGATGGGTCCTCGGGACTTTAATCCGCCACATCCGTACCCTCCAGGGGGACAAAGGGTATGGACTGATGAGTCTCACAGTCAATTCTTCCATCCCAGCGAAGGGTCAGGGCTTTAGTATCCACCTTTGCTCTTCAGAGCCTCCTGCTTCCTCCTCCTGTCACACTGATATTCAAGGGAACAACTCTTGTAGGCACTGGGGGACTCCAATGTGTAGACCAATTTGACCATTTCATGTTCAACGTCACCCACGTCCATCCACATCCAGACCTTTCTCAGGCTCCCCACCCCCTAAACCAACACCCACCCAGCGCCACGATGGACCCTTCTCACTCCTCCCCTCCCAGAGCCACAGGTCTAGGCTCCCCAGGAAGTTAGATTCCCCCTACCTGGTTCCTAAGAAGCCTGAAGAGCCCTGCTTTTCGGAGCCACCATTCCAGAGGGTCGGAGCACAGGTCTCTCTCTGGTCCGTGGGAGCCCCGCCACGGGGGCTGCGCGAGAGAACTTCCAGACTTGTCCACAGGACTCAGAGCCACGCCGAGAGCCTGAAACATGAGCTGGAGCCTCGGCCCTGAAGGGAGGCACTCCCTGGGGAAGAGGGGAATGGCCCCACACTGGCCGGAGCAACACTCTAGCCAGGCGGCTGATGGGCCAGATAGAGCTGGGACCGCGGCCGGAATGAGCGTGGCACCCACTGTCCGGGTCATGGAGGCAGAACGAGGGCTGGCGATCCCACGTATGCATGTACGAAGTGTGAAGGACAAAGCCCGAGTGACTGGGGTTTGTGACGTCTGTGGTCAGGAGGATAGGAGAGCTGGGGGCAGAGCCAGGGAGGCCAGGACCCGGGCCTGGCTTTTGAGGACGCCAGGAACATCTGGTGTGGAAACCAGACTCATATTCCTAGTTTAGAGGCAGGAGACAAAGCCATGCATTCTGTTCTCCAGAGCTCGCTCTACTTGGCATTTTTTACTCGTGGTCCCTCCCCAGGAGCTGCTAGGCTGCAGGATACAGGGAAACTGCTTCCAGCAGTTAAGTCAGGAGGCAAGGCTGCCTGGGGCTCTGACACAGTCCTTTGGGGCTTGGGGGTGAGGGGAGGGAGGGAAAGGAGGTGGGATTCTACTTCGGAGTCACCAAGACTAGATAGAGTCGGGCCACTGGGAGGTCCTAGGACTGAGGACTGGTGAAATATAAAAGAGTCGTGGACAGTTGGCTTCAGCTTCTCCCATGAGCCGGATGTAGGGACTGGATGATCCCTGGACCCTTCAACCAGCTCCCAGTCCACCCTGAGGATGGCACTAGAGAAGCCACAGCTGGGTAAGACAGCCCAAGCTGAGAATGGCTCTGAGAAGGGGTGATGGCAGGGAACTGACCTCTGGTGGTAAGGACACAACCACCCAGTGGTGCCCCAGGGCCCCTTCTACCACAGGACAGGAGCCCAGCACCCCACCACCTCAGGGTCCTCGCTCTCAAACAGGAGTAGCAAAAGGCAGCCAAGGCAAGGCATCCCCAGGGACCCCAAGGAAGGAGGTGGGAAGAAGAAAAGCAAGATGATGTTCAGCTTTCCAACCCAGCTCATGGAGCTTTATTCAAAATGGAGCGACATTCTTGGTTCTTGCTGCCCTTGAAGGCAGAGGCCCAGGCCGAATCTCCTAGGAGCCCAATGTGGAAGGCCCATGTGTACCCTCGCACGTCCTCACAACTCCTAGGGCCAGGGCTGGGTCTCCCTGAATCCCTTTCCAGATGCCATACTCACCTGGGCCTCGCCTTCCTCCCACCCACCCTGCCAACTCCCACTGCCAGGCCCAGACAGGGCCCATGAACAACAAAGCTGACATAGGGTTGGCCACTGGCTGGGAATCCCCTGCCAGCTCCAAGGGAACAATGTCTCATGTCTGTGAGTCCCGCTGCCGCACCCACACAGAGGCACGCACCCACTTCACAAAGGCTTTCTGGGAAGGAAATGATGTGGCTGAATGGCCTGTGGCATATACTGCCACTTCCGGGCACAGGGGGCCCTCAGTCATTGCAGCCGCCATGGCCTCTGTTCAGGCTGAGCACAGGGCTGCTCCGGGCAGGTCACCCAAACTGCTCCTGCCCCCAAACAAATCCTCAATGCATTCTGAGGTCCCAAGGCTTCCCTCACCGGAAAAGTCACCAGGTTCCACTTGCCTCAACCAGCCTACGGCTCCTGGACAGGAGACAGAAGATACCCTCACGCACAGGGTTCCTCTGTGGCACCAGGGGGAGGGCTTCCGCTCTCACACTGAGCATGCCAGGCTTGAGCCCCTTGGAGGGAAGGAGGGAGGGGAGTGCTGAGGCTCTCAGCCAGAGGCAAGGAGGCTCCTTTAAACCAGAAAGGTTGTGGCTTTGCTCCTGCCCTGCTCAAGCAGGGAGGGTAAGGCCTGCAGGAGTTGGGGCAGTTCCTATGCTCCACAATAAAAAAGGTTTTTAAATATATTCATCAAAATAGTTTTTTGTTTTTTGTTTTTTAAAAAAAGCCCCCACTGCTGGTAGCCCACTGGCTAGCTCGCCATCATGTCCCTCCCTGCCCGGACACAGCCAGGAGGTCCTGAGTGGCCCAAGTGCCCCTCTGAGTCTTTCCCACCCAGGAGGTCTTGAAGGGCAGGGAGGAGTGCGCCCTGAGGTCCATGGTGGGTGGATGCTCTTCTGCCGATTATTCGAGGCCCAGGATGTAGTTGATGCCTTGCACTAGGCCAATGATGACAGGCTGCCAGGCCACCAGATAGCGAAGCCAATCCAGCAGCTGCCCGTACATGACGTGGGGCCTCTCCCAGCTGCCGGTGTGTTAAAGGAAAGAGCTGTGCACAGACCTGCTAAGGCCGGTCTAGGGGATGGTCACGGAGGGTTTGCCCACATCCTCCTGGGACCGCCCACACTTTCCAGCAGCTTTCTAGAAAGCCCCACAGCCTCTCCACGTTGGAGTAAAGGGCTAAAGCAGAAAGTGGGGGGAGGGTGGCGGAGGGGCCAGTGCAGAAGATGGGGATGGAGTGGTGGAACTAAGCTCTCCATGACCGACATCCAGAGAGGGTCATCCATGAAACACTTCTCAGATGGACTGGCAGTGAGTGAACACAGCCAGAGGCCTGTGACACTGGCTGCAGGGAAGCTGGGAGTTGAATAAGGCAACCCTGAAGGTTCTTGTAATGTCCAACGTGAAGGCTTTCTAGGTCAAGGAAGAGGTTGAGTCTAGAGACAGAGGCAGAAGGGAGCAAGAGGCTGGTCACAGGGAATAACCCCTGGCAGAGGCCCCAAGGAATCCCCATCCAGGGCACTAAGCCACTACCCTACTGAGGCCAACCAGCTCTGGAGATAGTTCCCTTCCTTCCCTTTCACAGCTAAACACTGGGCAAGACGCCTGAAAAAGGAGGTTGGGATTCCAGGTCTGGGGAAAGCCCTGGGGAGACGGAATCTCTAGAAAGGCATCAGAAAGGGCAGCTTGGCCTAGTTTCTGAGAACTAAGGGAAGCCCCAACCATCAGCTTGACCATGGAGTTACTACTTGTTCCTAAACTAGTCTCTGCAAGAACAAAGTAAGAAACCTAAAAGGGCCTGTCTCCTATTCAGGGAGTGGACTAGAAATGCAGTGGCTCCCACACAGCCTAGCTGGTGTCCTAGGGACAGAGAAATGGGACAGCTGAGAGGAGAGGGGAGAAAGCTGGGTCCCTAGATCCCAGGGGAAGTGCAGGGGCAGGCAGAGTAGTGGCTGGGCACTTTCCAACAGTCAGGCTGTGAGGAGAATGAGGAGGGTGAAGGTACAGAATGAGGAGGGAAGGCTGGCAGGGGAGGAAGTGATAGCTCAGAGGAGCGTTAAGTCCTGTGTTGATAGCTGATGTGCACAGGAAGTCCCTCAGCCATCCCTGTACCTACAGGCCCTGCACAGGCACAGAGCTGGTCCCCAGGCCTGCGTGTCACAGATAAGGCATCATCATGCATTAGTCATATCACCCCAAACAAGTATCCAACATCTTAACTGTTTCATCTGTAAAATTAGAATATCACGAAGTCATCAAGTTTCTAGAGAAGACAATTAGGTTCACATGAGAACACTTAACACATTGCCAGGTACACAGTAAGCAAGCAGGAAGCGGTAGCTGCTACAGCTACCAACTTAGCCTTAAGGTTTCTAGAGCTATGATGAGAAGCTGAGGCATTAGTCCTATGCCACGTCCCATCCCAATTTCCTAGATCTGAGGCCAAACAGAATGGAGGACATGTACCAGGTAGGGCAGGAGGGAACGCCCAGGAAGACCCAGTGCAGGGTCAACGGCCCACAGGAACGCACAGTAAGGATACGGGTTGCTGAACATCCTCTTGAGATCCACCTTCTCTTTGCAGTAGGGACACGTCTGCTTCTTTCCCACAATGCACCAGCCGCGAATGCAGAACTCATGGAAACTAAGCATCACTGGTCAAGGGAAATACTGTGGACAGCCTGCGTGGCACCCAGCTCTGTGCTGATCTTCAAGGTGCCCAGGCACTAGCTCTGGAGAAAGGTCCCAAGCCTGGCTTCCCCTCTTATCTTCTGTATAATATTAGGCAAGTCCCTTCTCTCTGACTCTTTGCTCATATGTGAATCATCATCATCATCATCATCTCTGCCTTAGAGGATTGTCAGGGGCAAAACGGAGATAACATAATACATGGCACAGAATGGGAGCTGAGCAAGGACATGACAAATCTTAGATATTGTTCAGGGGGATCTGATTCTGAAACTGAGGGATCCAATTAGAGGATGCTGCTCCTGTGACCCATCCAACCCTGGGGCAGCTAGTGTAGCTTCAGGCTCCTTCCTGGCATGCCAGGCTATGAACAGCATTTACATAAGAGTGGCTCCCATCTGTGGGAAAGAGCAAGCAAGGATGCATTTTCTACTCCTGGGTATCGGCTCCTCTAACATCCAACATCACCAAACGTCTACCATCTTGTGACTCTCCTACACTCAAAGGCCGGGCAGCATGCCCCCTCTCTCCCTGACTACAGGGTGCATGTGACCCAGGAGCTCCAGGCGGATACACATGATTGCAAGACAGCCTGTACGTGTTCTCGATGATGCCCTCTTCACTGACGTCCACAAAGATCTGCTGCCCACACACAGCACACATGCTGTCCGAGAGGTGCTTGGTAGGCATGCCTGACTCGCTGTAGAACTAGGAGAGAAGAGCACAAGGAAAAGACAGGAGAGATGTGAGAATCAACCGAAGTGGAAAGCTACCACAGAGGCCTTCTAGAGAGAAGGCAAAGTGGCAGGGGAGGTCACAGAGCTAGAAAACATTTCTATACAATAAATAGACCTCATCCTTGTTGGGTGAATGAGGAGAAAGGGACACACCAGAGATGGGTCAGGGAGTCTAATTGAAAAGGACCTGAATGCTAGGCTGGGTTAACATCAGGGACAAAGGAGAACGTGAGGGAGAAGGGCTCAGGGTGACATACAGGAGCTATGTCAGGTAGGCCACGTTGTAGCCAGACTATGATGCTAGCAGACATGGACAACATCTTTAAGATTCAACGGCAATATCCAGAGCAATGCTGTGTGGTGATAAGGGTGTTCTCAGACACTTGTGGCTGCAGCAAAGGAGATGCAATTCTTTTGGACAGCATTTGGCATATATCTCATACTGTCATTTATCAGCCATTAATTTCAAGGAATTTAAGGAAATAAAAACAAGTGTCAAAAAGCTTCATGCAGCCCTGGCCAGTGTGGCTCAGGTGGCTGAGCATTCCTAACGCACTGAGCGGTTCAATTCCCAGTCGGAGCACATGCGGGCCTGAAGTCGATGTTTCTCTCTCCCTTTCCCTTCCTCATCTTTAAAAGTGAATAAAAACATTTGAAAAATTTTATAATTAAAGAAGAATTTCATAATTCCTCTAAAAGTTAAACAAGAATCACCAGATGACAAGCAATTCCATTCCAACATATATACCTCCCAAAAATGAAAATGGACTAAAACACATGCTTGTATGCTAATACTCATCAAAGCATTCCTATTCACAATAGTCAGAGGTGGAAACAATCCCTCAATAAACGGATGTATAAACAAATGTGATATATCCATCCAATAAAATATTGTTCAGTCATTAAAATAATGAAGTCCTGGCACATGCTACAACACACACAAACCTTAAAAACATTATGCAAAGTGAAATAAGCCGACACAAAAGGACAAATATTATATGACTCCATATATAAAATATCCAGAGTAGATAAAAATATATATATAAAAGATCACTCTGTCTTCTGTGTGAAAAATGAATTGGAAATGAAGCAAAGAAGCTTTAGAAAGACCAGCTAAGAGACAATTACAATTCTTTAAAAGCAATGGATGATGGAGGCTTATACTAAGTTGATGGTTTAGGCTAATTTGATGGCAGTAAAAACTGAAAAAAGTAGACAGACTGGTGATGTCTAATAGACCAGTGAATAGTAATGTGATGTCTAATAGACCAGTGAATTTCAGTCCTCATTAGAGAATGTTTTTATGCTCTGGAGCTCAGAAAACAGTTTTGGATTAGAAATCTGGAATCCCTGGAAAAAGAAAAGTGAATTATCCAGGTGAAGAGAAGAGAAGATAACTTAGATTTGAACTTAGAAGAACAATATCATTAGGAGAAAGGAAAGTTAGGAGAGGAAACAGGAAATATTAGCGATAAAAAGAATGCTTTACATTCACCTATTCCTTACAATTCTATAAGACTGGTAGTATTACTACAGCTAAGAAAACAAGATCAGAGAGGTAAAGTAACTTGCTCAGGAGCACACAGCTAGCCCTGATTGGGTGGCTCAGTTGATTAGAGCATCATCCTATACACTAAAAGGTTGTGGTTTAAAACCTGGTCAGGGTGCATACAGAAGGCAACCAACCCATGTTTCTCTTTCTCCTTCCCTCCCTTACTCTCTGTCTAAAGACAGTAACAACATAGGAACATACATAATACTTTCAACAATAAAGATTAAAAGAATTTTATTTATTTATTTATTTATTTATTTATTTAAATATATTTTATTGGTTTTTCACAGAGAGGAAGAGAGAGGGAGAAAGTTAGAAACATCGATTAGCTGCCTCCTGCATACCCCTCCCTTGGGGATGTGCCCGCAACCAAGTACATGCCCTTGACCGAATTCGAACCTGGGACCTTTCTGTCCACAGGCTGAAGCTCTATTCACTGAGCCAAACCGGTTCCGGCAAGATTAAAGAATTTTAAAAAGAAAGAGAACATAGCTAATTAAAAGTGGATTCGAACTTGAAACTAGGCCTGACTCTAACCCCCTAGCTCTTTCCACTACTTTAAGCCAGATGAATGGCTAGCTAGTCCTGTCCTGATGCTATCGGGGCCACTGATGATCCAAAAGGTAACTCTGGGGCACAGAAACTTGCTTAGAAGTTTGCATGAATGTGGGTTACTGCCCTGCCTGGAAGAAGCTCCAGAAAATAAGCTTATTTCACAATCAAGGAAACCATACTGACTGGCTGTCACACGCTTATGATCTCATAGTGAGCAGATGAGAAAAAAGCAAATATCCAAGGTTCCCTAGACTCATCATCAGAAGATAATGACTAAAGTACATATGACAAGTTTCTCCATGTGAAAACAAACCAAAGAGCTACTCTACATTAAACAGAACAGTGAAAAGGAATTGTGGATGCTTGCTAATATACGTACAAAGCCTCCTGGTTTCATTTCTAAGAACCCTGACACAAAAAAATCACAGATCTCTTTAGGTCAAACCACCCTCAAAGGGCTTCTCTAGGACTAAAACAAGTTCCTGACATGGTAAGCAGAACAGCTCCAACATCAACTATGACTTTCTGGGATAGGAGCCATGACCACAAAATGTACAAAAGACTATGAAAAATGATCAGGACTGAAAATATGGTCTATACATACAGTGGGATATTATTCAGACTTAAAAAGGAAAAAAATTCTGATACATGCTACAACATGGGTGACCCCTGAAGACATTATGCTAAGTGAAATAAGTCAATCACAAAAGTCCAATATTGCACAAGTCCACTTATATGGGGTACTTGCAGTGGTCAAATTCAGAGACAGAAAATAGAATGGCAGTTGCCTGAGGCTGGGGGGAGGGGAAATTGTGGAATTACTATTTAATGGGTATAGAACTTCAGTTTTATAAGTGAAGAGTTTTATGGATGTATAGTGATGGTTGCAGAACAATGTAAATGTACTTAATGTAACTGAACTATACACTTAAAAATGATTAAGATAGTAAATTCTGTTATATGTGGTTTTTCAGTCCTCATTAGAGAATGTTTTTATTTATTTTAAAGAGAGAGGAAGAGGGAGACAAAGAGAAACATTGATCAGTTTCCTCCCACACATGCCCTGACCGGGAATTGAACCTGCAACCCTTTAGTGTATGGGATGATACTCTAACCAACTGAGCCACCGGCCAGGGCAATGTGTATTTTACCACAAAAAACAAACAAAAAACAAACAAACAAAAAAACCCACAACAACACAAAACAAGTACTGCTACTGAAATGGTAGTGGTATTAGTGAAGACTGTACTTGGGTCATAGTTGGAACATTATAGACAATTGACAAATAACTATTGCTTTAATAAATGAATGAATGAGTTGCCTAATGAATGCATGGAAGGCAGAAATTTCCTGGCTTCTTCAAATTGCCTGCACCAAAGCATTGATCAGATTTTGTTTTTAAGGTCAGAGTTATTCTTGAAATTGAAGTATCCATGGCTCAGAGACCCAGAGCACAAGGCCCACTTAACCAAAGACGGGCAGAAACAAGAAAGTGCTGGAATTCTCAGGGTTGGAAAGAACTGTAAAGGCAGTGCAATGTATCCCTTTAATCTATGTTGAAATCCCTCTCCCATACCCTTGCCTGGTCTGATCTGTTGGCATCCCAAGCCTTAGAAGAAGGCCTGTCACTAAGTCTCAGCAATGTTTGCTATGGGAAATAATGAATGAATTCCTGGTGACTCACCAGTACTACCACAAGCCATTCTAGTCTTCCTATGACCCACTCTGCTGCAAGATGGGAACCTGGGGAAACAGCAAACTCTCCATAGTTAGGGTCAGCAAGATCACATTCTGTTGGACAGGTGTTGGATAATGTGGCTTCTGAAAGGGATAGCCATTCTTTTTTTAAAAATATATTTTATTGATTTTTTTTACAGAGAGGAAGGGAGAGAGATAAGAGAGCTAGAAACGTTGATGAGAGAGAAACATCGACCAGCTGCCTCTTGCACACCCCCTACCAGGAATGTGCCCGCAACCAATGTACATGCCCCTGACCGGAATCGAACCCGGGACCTTTCAGTCCGCAGACCGACACTCTACCACTGAGCCAAACCGGTTTCAGCTGGATAGCCATTCTTAATGTCAATTACCTAGGAAAGAGGTAAGTCCTCACATAAGGTACCAGAATTCAGAAGGCTGGCCTGAGGAATAGAGGAAGGGGTGGCATATTTTTGTCAGGAACAAAGGCTGTAGGTCCAGACGTTTGGAAAATAGTTGACTAGATGTGGTGGGTGCCAAAATGGCCCCAGCTACACAGCGGTAGGCTGAGAGTTGTCAAAGGCAGGGTCTGGAAACCCTGGAAAGCAGGCAGCCTGGTAAGCCAGATTGACTCAGCCAAGTACCCTTGGCTTATTTTCCTGTTCTCATCCTCAACCTTTTAATAAAGCCCAATCCTTCTGTTCTTATGCTGAGACACAGGGAAGTATGTGGGTTTATACATATGCAGGCTATTAAGTGAGCACATGGGATAGTAAGATATTGTAAAGGGAAGGAGAATATGAGGGGCCAAGAGCTGGTATTTGAGGCACCCTACGCTCTAACAAGAGAGTGTTCTGTCAGGTCTTTTGGTAAAGCTGGAATTTATTATCTTTTAAGGGTTATCAGCTGTAATCATTGGAGCCCAATAATTCTTCCCCAAAACATGGAAGGCCCAGCTCAAACCTTGTTTTGGAGAGGCCAATGTAATGATCCCATCTCCCCGAGAGGAGAAGCTATCTTGTGGATCAATTCTGAGCTCAGTCCCATTTGGACAGAAAAGAGATTTTGTAAATTGGTTATCAGCGACTACCTGAGGGAATTAAAGCTATGCTTAAATTGGCAGCTGATAATAACCTTGAAATAAAGTTGGCAACAACCTGGGAAAATCAGAGAATTGGTCCTGTAAAAACAAAATGAGAAAAAAAGAAATCACTAGAGGGTAAAGGATAGGATACTGGCAAGAGTGGCCGTGAAAAGCTGGCTATGCTATAAAAGCAGTCTAAGAGAACAGCTGTTGTTCAATGTGTAGTAATTAGATAATATAGAGTCCAGAAATTTCTTCTGGGAAATGAAATGGGTAAAGGAAGAGCTGAAGCCTACACAAATGTGTACGAGACCGAGAAATGCAGCTAAAACATAAGACAGTTGTTCAAAAAAGTATCTAATAAGCTGTCCACAAAGTGACCCAATATACTGTTTTCAATTTGATCCATTGCTAGAAAAATAAATAGCCCATGATACTGAGAAACAAAGTCCTAGATCTGAAACTACTATATTTGATTAAAAATATCCAAGGTGCCGAAACCGGTTTGGCTCAGTGGTAGAGCATCGGTCTGCGGACTGAAAGGTCCCGGGTTCGATTCCGGTCAAGGGCATGTACATTGGTTGCGGGCACATCCCCGGTAGGGGGTGTGCAGGAGGCAGCTGGTCGATGTTTCTCTCTCATCGACGTTTCTAGCTCTCTATCTCTCTCCCTTCCTCTCTGTAAAAAATCAATAAAATATATTTTAAAAAAATATATCCAAGGTGATGGTTGAGGATTATTTAACCTAAATTGGCCTGTGACACAAATGAACATACAAGTTTACACAGCAAACAGTGTCTCACCTGAAAACTGCCTCAAATCCTTCCCGAGTTCCCGAAGCGCCTCACATGCAGTCAGTGCCGGTCCTTTCCTGCTCTTATCGCTTGGTCTCCAAAGCTACCTGCTGCCTAAAAGCTAGGCCTGGTATCTGGACGCTCCCAGAGAACCCATTTCCCTGATGTTCTCCCCGGGTTTCACTCCAAGCTGTCAATAACTTCTTGAATGCCCTTTGGTTCCCCTTCATCAGACAGAGCCACATGTATTTCAGCACAGAAATGGAGAAATGTCCATTAAATTTTGAAATATTCTTCCTTGGGGTAGCGTCTAATGGGATGACACTGAGATGGGGAACACTTTTGTGTTGTTTACACAATTAAGAGAATGTAAATAGCAAAAAAAAAAAAAAATACATACTTTCATTATAAAGGGGAAAAAAGGGATACTGATGTGGGTATCTCAGACTGGCTATTCTACCCATATTTTAAGCTTGAATTTCTCCATGGTCTCCACCTCATCTTCATAAAGCATTTCCTATCTCCACCATTCAAGGAGTTGCTTGAGTTTTGACTTTCCAAATTTAAGAAGAAATCCAACCACTTGGGTCATAGTTGGAACATTATAGACAATTGACAAATAACTATTGCTTTAATAAATGAATGAATGAGTTGCCTAATGAATGCATGGAAGGCAGAAATTTCCTGGCTTCTTCAAATTGCCTGCACCAAAGCATTGATCAGATTTTGTTTTTAAGGTCAGAGTTATTCTTGAAATTGAAGTATCCATGGCTCAGAGACCCAGAGCACAAGGCCCACTTAACCAAAGACGGGCAGAAACAAGAGAGTGCTGGAATTCTCAGGGTTGGAAAGAACTGTAAAGGCAGTGCAATGTATCCCTTTAATCTATGCTGAAATCCCTCTCCCATACCCTTGCCTGGTCTGATCTGTTGGCATCCCAAGCCTTAGAAGAAGGCCTGTCACTAAGTCTCTTGATTTTATCCTTCAAACAAGTTATGCTATCCTGAACTCCCTGGAGGTGGTAGAAGGTGGTATTAAGGGCCAGGTGAACTCACCCCTATGGTAGACGCCATGTAGTCTGCACACATTTCTGCAAAGTCCCGCTCAAGAACACCATAATAGAGGCCATAGAACAGGAGAGATATGCCAAAGTCCATGGCATCTTCTGGTTTGATCCTGTAAAGGAAGTAGCATTGCCTGAGACACACTGCTTTGTATTCTACTCTCAGACACAGAAGGAGGTGCCAAAAAGCAGAAGGTTCAAGGGCTAGAGCAAGTTTGCTAGGGCAAACTAAGACCAAATCTAGCATGCTGTATTTAAAGTATACATGAGTGGCCAGATTATTATGATCTCTGAATGCATAATAATCTGACCACTCAGTGTGTGTGTGTGTGTGTACAGTATAAGGCCTAGTGCATGCATTCGTGCATGGGTGGGATCTGGCTGGCCTGGCTAGGGGGAGGGGACATGGGTGGTTGATCAGCCTGCCTGCTGGTCAAACTCCTGGTCGATGGTACAATCTGCATATTAGCCTTTTGTTATGTAGGATATACACTAAGTGGCCAGATTATTATGCATTCAGAGATCATAATAATCTGGCCACTCAGTGTATTATCCCTGGGCACCAATTGAACAGGCTAACATTGTGAGCTTCAAAGACGAAGCCATGGTATCCCCTTCTGTCCTACTTCCCCTCTCTGTTCCCAGTGCCTGCCTCCTCCAACTGGCACCATGTACTGCAGCTGCCAGGGCCTGCTCTGGTTGGCACCTACATATTGAGGACCCCAGTTCATCATATCTACCATTTCAGGCTACTGCTTCTGAGAATGTCTTGTCTGATGGCAAGCAGGCACAAATATGCCCACCATCTGATACAGCCATGGGGCAGGAAAGGAGTTTTCTCTCATTATAGAAGTATCTATATAATATCGTAGATTTCACTCTTATCTCACAAAGTCTAAAATATTTATTATTTAATCCTTTACAGAAAAGTTTGGCAACCACAGTTTTTAGAAAAAAAGTTAGTCGGTTACAGATGAGCTACCATAAAATATTAAGCTGCACCTACATATATTCTGTTTGTCATCAAGTTAAACGTTGACCCACATCTATTTACCAAGAAGAACAAAGATTTTTTATTGGATATATTGGAGTGACACTGGTTAATAAAATTATATAGGTTTTAAGTAGAAAGACAAAGTTCTTGCCTGTAATATTAAGAGATTTGTTTTAATAAGTCTAAAGACCAATAATTTGCAACCTTGAGTCTATAAATGTTTAGTATAGAAAGTACTTTTGTTAAAATATTTGTACCCTGCCTGGTGTGGCTCAGTTGATTGAAGCGTCATTCTTTGCACCAAAAGGTTCAATTCCTGGTCAGGGCACATACCCAGGTTGTGGGTTTGATCCCCGTGCAGGAGACACCCGATCAATGTTTCCCTCTCACATTGGTCTCTCTCCCCTGCTTCCTCTCTCTTTAAACTAAAAAAAAAAAAAAAAAAAAAAAAAAAAATTGTACCAGGAACTGTATGTGTTCACTTAAAACTGTAAATGATATTTATCTTGGAAAGCTGAATTTGTTCATCAATCCTGTAATATTTAACCTATTAACTAGACATCATGATCTTTCACTGATTAATCTGATCAGTAGCATAAAAATGGTCAAGATTCCCAATTCTGTTTTCTTCTTTGTAGAGTTTATGAGAGCAAAAAGAAACATGGCCTGTGATTGGTACACTGCATCTGGAGTGGGAGATTCCTGAAACTGAATGTGTTCCTTGGGCGAGGGGGGGCTTCTGGGACAGGTGTCTCACTCTCTTACATCTCAGCCCTGTGACTATGAGAACCTCCAAAGACATTGCCCTGCAACTTCCTGTCTTGTATCCTTCAAGGTGGATCTGTTGTCAGGTGTGGTCAACTGTATGCCACGAGTTCAAATGTCTAATTCAGGGTCAGCAAATTTTTCCTGTAAAGGGTCGGATAGTAAATATTTTAGTTTTGTGGCCTAAATAGTCTCTGCCGCAATTATTAAAATCTGCTGTTTTACTGCAAGAGCAGCTATAGACAATGTGTAAACAATTGTGTGTGACTGTGCTCTTGTAAAATGTTTTTCATATTTTATAAAAACATGAAGTAGACCAATTTGGCCCACAGGACATAGTTTGCCAACTCCTACTCTTCTTGAACATAAGATCACTCAGGGAGAGTGGATGCTGCAATAAGTGGACAAAGAAATTAGTTCTATTAGGGAGATAAAGTAACAGGAAACTGGCTATACAGTAATTATTATTATTACTTCTGTCATACTCTTCCACTAAAATATAAATCCTGCCAAACCTGTTTGGCTCAGTGCCTAGAGTGTTGGCCTGCAGACTGAAAGGTCCCAGGTTCGATTCCGGTCAAGGGCATGTATCTTGATAGCGGGCACATCCCCAATAGAGTGGGTGTAAGAGGCAGCTGATCGATGATTCTCTCATCAATGTTTCTAACTCTCTATCCCTCTCTCTTCCTCTCTGTAAAAAATCAATAAAAAGCAAAACCGGTTTGGCTCAGTGGACAGAACGTCGGTCTATGGACTGAAAGGTCCCAGGTTTGATTCTGGTCAAGGGCATGTACATTGGTTACGGGCACATCCTCGGTAGGGAGCATGCAGGAGGCAGCTGGTCGATGTTTCTCTCTCATCAACGTTTCTAGCTCTCTATCCCTCTCCCTTTCTCTCTGTGGAAAATCAATAAAATATATATATTTTTTAAATCAATAAAAATATCTTTAAAATTTAAAATATAAATTCTTAGAAAATATAACTAATGATTTGAAACTCTAATTCTGTGTTATCCAACATTCCTTTCTCTTTGTCAGCACAATAGTGGAGGGCCCACCCTCATATCCCCCATGGCTCGAGTCTCCTATCCTGGATTACCACTTTTTCCCTGTTAATAATCATAACTTGCCCCAGGAAGAAAGATATATCCCACCAGCATCTCCTTCCCCAACACAAGAAAAAAAAAAAAAAGAAAAAAAAAAAAAGCAAAGGATACTCACTTGAATAATAAGTTAAGACCAAAAAGGGTAAACATGACAGCCATGTAGCCAACGATGCCAGTGGCATAGCTGATTTTATAGATCAGCAGGAACCACTTATAAACCAACCTGGAGAAAGGAGAAAGAGATTAAAAATGGCGGTAGAGTAAGTGGATGCTACATGGACAGGCTCCCAGGAGCAAACTGGAATTATAACTAAAATATTTAATTATACATTGTGATAAGCTCTATGAAGGAAAACTGCAGGGCACTATGAAAAAATATAACAGAAAACCTAACTTAGAGATCAGAGAAGGGTTCACAGAAGAAAATAACATTTTAAATGATACTACAATCATCCCCAGGATTTGCTTACTCTGTTGTTTGCTTTTAATGTAAACAAACCTCGAAATAAATGATAAGGTAAACTAAAATGAAATACTTGGGTTTTTTAAATCTGAGAATGATAGGTTTGTTTTGGTGGAGCTCAGTGCCAACTAAACATGGCAGATAAAAACTAAGTTTTCCATCTAAACCACCCTTCCCATGCATCCCACTTCAAGAAACTTAGTTCTTTCCACTACCTAAATTCTCACCTTGGGGTTGTCTGCACTAGTGGCTTTCGGGTGGCTCGGAAGGTGACAAAGGCTGTGACAGCAGAGAAGAAGATCCAGATCACTAGGAACCTCCACCAGTGCAGCTTCACTGTGAAATAGAGGGGAACAACCCACATCTGAAAGAGGGTCACCATCTGAAACACAAACACAAGCACTTCAGCTCCAGCCAGCTCCCTCTGAGCTCTACCCACAAGTCCACAGTGCATCTCAGGCGTTCCATTTCAGCCTGATCCTTGCCTACATTTCCAATTGTGGACGAAGGCACCTCCTAGGGACCTAACCTGGGATCATTTTGGATACTTCCCTTTAATCCTTCACCCAACCATTTATTGTATATATTCTCTCCTTTCCATTTGAATCTTTGCTGTCCCTTGGCTGGCTGACTATGACGACTTCCTTGTTAAGCCTCCCTCGTTCAGTGTCTCCCCTTCCCACCTACCCTACCAGGAGCTCTGGAAAGGAATCTCTAACATCCAGACTTAAACATATCATTCCCCTGCTTAAAAACCCTTTAATGGTCTCCCCCTCCCATATAGGATAAGATCCAACTTCTTAGGTAATCAAATCACCCAAATATGGTCCCAAACTACTATTCCAAGATCACTTTCTACCACTCACATGCTTTTTAGTCAGGCTGTCCCTCTCAGACTAAAACATCCTTTCTGCCTGAAAACATCACTTCCGAGACACATGAAGCCTTTAGTCTCTTTTCTAGGAAGAATGTATCTTGAGTTTTTAATGCTCCAAAGCATTTTCTTTTCTACCATCATTACAGTGCTTACCTAGAGTACAAGACTGCATTCAAATTCATTCTCTACCTGAATGCAAGCTCCTTAAGAAAAGTCATTAGGCCGTATTCATCTGCTTCCTGTGCTAGAAAACTGTCTGGCATGAGAGATCCTCAAAAAACTTAGATAAATAAGAGGAAAGCAGCCCACCGGTGTGGTTCAGTGGCTGAGCGTCAACCTATGAACCAGGAGGCCACGGTTCACTCCGGTCAGGGGACATGCTCAGGTGGCAGGCTTGATCTCCAGTAGGGGACATGTAGGAGGCAGCCAATCAATGATTCTCTCTCATCATTGATGTTTCTATCTTTCCCTTGTTCTCTGAAATAAATAAAAATATTTTTTTTTTCAAAAGAGGAAAGCAAGACTAGAAACCAAAGAGGGAGGCTCATTTCTGTTTCAGAGTATCTGTTTCCCTTTCACTCCTTCAGATATCTACCTCAGACTTAGCTGAAGTATTCCAAATGTATAATACAACTCTAAGTCAGAAGTTTGGACTAATCACCATTTGTTTTGCTCCCCAATGCCTCCTAACTCTCTCCCAACCACCCAGCTTTCACTACATGTCATTTGTCTCAGGTGAGTTGCAGGGAAAGGGAAAAGAAACGGAAAGAGGAGGAGGAAAGGGAAGAATTAATTTAGGGACAGGAATACGCTCTTTGAAACAAGATGGCCCAGTAAACCTGAATTCTAAGTTCTCTTATGCCTCCAACTCATTGGGTCATCCTATGGAAGGCCTTCCTCCTCGAAGGAAGTGTGAGTTGATTTTCCAAACCACTTCAAGAAGCCTTGTATCCTAGACTCCGTGGGATGGTAAAACCAAGTGTCCTTATGACTTTGACTAAACTTAGTTTTAGTTTTAAGTCCTAGCTCTAGAAATCATAATATCATAATATCTCTCTCTCTCTCTCTCTCTCTCTCTCTCTCTATATATATATATATATATATATATATATATATATATATATAGATATGTAGATATATAGATATATAGATATATAGATATATAGATATATATGCCTCAGAGACCTAGCCTTTCCCCTTCCAGTGGTCGGCAAACTCATTAGTTAACAGAGCCAAATATCAACAGTATGATAGAAATTTCTTTTGAGAGCCAAATTTTTTAAACTTACTAAACTTCTTCTAAAGCCACTTCTTCAAAATATTGGGTCTAGTAATAATTAATGTCGTTTTTAATCATTCGTTTAAAATCTTGCTTGGCGTTGACTTGTATTGACATAACCTTCAAACACGTGGTATCTACAGAACATGTGAAGTGCAATTAACAAGTTTTGCTTGAAAAAGTTTGTGTTTGGTTTGGTTTTTGTTGCAAAACTAGGGCTAAGAAGATGGCGGATGAAGAGCATATTCGGCACTGTATGCTTTACGAGTTCCAATTAGGAAGAAAAGCAAGTGAGGCTGCAAAAAACATCTGTAGTGCTCTTGGTCAAGATGCAGTTAGCGCCAGAAAATGCCAGCGTTGGTTTGAGAAATTTCGCGAGGGAAATTTTTCGTTAGATGACAAGAGTGGTCGAGGCCGTGTGTCCAATTTTGATCAAGAAGCTCTTCAAGCTCTTTTGGTGCAAAATCCTCAAATTACCCAACAAGAGCTTGCGACAACTTTAAATTGTTCACAAAAAACAATTTCCAATCAATTGCGTGCACTTGGCAAAGTCCAAAAGTTTGGAAAATGGGTTCCTCATGAGTTGACGGACAACAACCGTAATCAAAGAGTCACAATTTGCAGTTCGCTCCTCTCTCGTCAAAACCGTTTGCCATTTTTAGAGCAAATTGTTACCAGAGATGAAAAATGGGTGCTGTATGTTAATTTGAAAAGGCAGCCTCAATGGGTGGACAAAAATGAGGCTCCGCAGCCCACGCCAAAACCTGACTTGCATGCGAAAAAAGTGATGTTGTGTGTTTGGTGGAATTTTAAAGGAATTCTTCATTATGAACTTTTACCATCTAACCAAACCATTACAAGTGCAGTGTATAGTGCCCAATTGGAAAGGTTAGCCCAAGCTTTAAGAGAAAAAGAACCCGCGCTGATTAATCGGAAGGGCGTAATTCTTCACCACGATGACGCACGACCGCATACTGCAAGAATCACTGCTGAAAAACTGCGCCAGTTGGAATGGGAAGTTCTCCCTCAACCTTCATATTCTCCTTATATTGCCCCTTCCGATTACCATTTGTTTCGTTCTTTGCAAAACTTTCTTCTTGGAAAAAAATTTAATAATGAAGAATGCCTCAAAAATGCATTGACTGAATTTTTTGCATCAAAATCACAAGAATTTTACAACAGAGGGATTAAAATGCTTCCTGAGCGTTGGGCACAAGTAGTAAAAAACAACGGCAATTATATTGTTGATTAAATTTTGTTGTATTGTTTAAATAAATTCGATTTAAAAAGAAGTATTAGGAAACGACATTAATTATTACTAGACCTAATAGACTTGCCCAGGCCGTGGTATTTTGTGGAAGAGCCACACTCAAGGGGCCAAAGAGCCGCATGTGCTTGCGAGCAGCAGTTTGTCAACCACTGCCCCAAACAATCAGCAACCCTTGAGGCTGAAGATAGTAACCAGAACCTGACCAATGCTCACAAGAACCTCTGGCAGGCTAAAGATAACATCTTAACCTAAGACAGTGGTCAGCAAACTGCTGCTTGCAAGCCACATGTGGCTCTTTGGCCCCTTGAATATGGCTCTTTCACAAAATACCACAGCCTGGGAGAGTCTATTTTGACGAAGTGGTGTTAGAAGAAGTTTAATTTGAAAAAAGATGGCTCTCAAAAGAAATTTCAATCGTTGTACTGTTGACTCTGTTGACTATTGAGTTTGCCGACGCCTGACGCCTGACCTAAGGTGATTCAGTTCCTGAGCCATAAGGTGGAATGACCCCTGGCTACTTTCCCAGGAGACCAAATGGAGAGAAGCAGGAAAAGACCTTTCCACTGTCCTCAAAATCTAGAGATGATTTATTACCCTTATCTCACCTCTAACCAGTCAGCTCTCAGCACAACACTGGTGTCTTATGATTTTGCCCTTATATAATCTGTAACTTAAATGCCATTGAGGAGTTCAGGCTTTTGAGCATTAGCTTTCCATTCTCTTGGGTGATGCTATCCTATCTAATAAAAGAAAACCATGCAAATTGACCATACCTCCACTATGCCCACCAGCCACACCCCACCAGCCAATCAGGAATGAGTATGCAAATCAACCCAACAAATATGGCAGCAGCCACAGAGCTGGAGGTTTGGGTTGCCACTGGCTATGGAGGACTGCCCTGGCCTGCCCTGACCTCTGCTCAAGGCTACAAAGTTTCAATTATAGAAGATAAATAAATCCCAGACACCAGGGCCTCTGCTTGAATCACTGGGAGACGTGGCCAGCCTGCAAACCACCACAGGCCCCTCACCCAGGCTGCCCGATGCCCCAAGGAAACCCCCCACCCTGATCTGGGACACCCTTCAGGGTAGACCAGCTGGCCCCCACCCATGTACCAGGTTTTTATCCTATCTAATAATCTAATAAAAGAGTAATATGCAAATCTACTGTCATTCCAACATACAAGATGGCTGCCCCTATATGGACACAAGATAGCTACCACAAGATGGCCAGCAGGGGAGGGTAGTGGTAGGGAACAGCCTGCAAGGGAGGGCAATTGGGAGTGACCAAGCTGGCAGGGAAGGGCAGTTAGGGGCAATCAGGCTGGCTGGGAAGCAGTTAGGCATCAATCAGGCTGGCAGGGAAGTAATTAGGGGGTGATCAGGCTGGCAGGCAGAAGTGGTTAGAGGCAATCAGGAAGGCAGGCAGGCGAGCAGTTGGGAGCCAGCAATCCTGGATTGTGAGAAAGATGTATTTAGTGTTTGGCTCCAGTGGACAAACTGTTCTGTAGTAAAAAATGCTTCATTGATTCATCCATCAAATATTTACTTTGCATTTACTGGGAAGAGGAATGCAGAAATAAACATGACCTTAGTCCCTGTCCTCAAGGAGCTAACAGACAAGCAGCAGGAGAAAACCAAATCAAACCAAATTTTAAAGATTCTATTAATCCTTAGACCCTTTCTAGAGGAAGTCCAAGTAGAAATCATTAAAGAACACATGAACAATGTCAAATGATACAATACATTGAAATGACCAGAGATTTTAGATATGAATTTAAAGAGATCTAGATATGGATCCTAATACAGCTGTTTACTGTGTTATCTTAGGCAAGTCACTAACCCTGATAAGCCTCAGTTTTCTGAACTATAAAATGGGGTTAACATATCTATTCTCATAAGGCTGTGTAAGTTAAAGAAGCCAATGCATGAAAAGCTCTTTGAACAGTTCCTAACA